CTCTCCACCATTACCAAGTAGCCCTTGCTTTCAAGAAATAGTGAGTTATTTGCAATCTACTAAAGATGCCTCATTCTTTCATACAAACTTCTACTCATCCTTCAAGTCTCAATTTAGACACAACTTCCTCTCCCAAGACCTCCATGAATTGCCTGTGTACTTTATAAATATTCATATTTTATTTGCATTTCTATCTTTCCTCTGGCAGTAAGTTTCTTGAGCACAGAGATAATATCTTTGGACATGTAATTGACAGATGCAATGTCTTTATTAAATGAAATGAGTGAATAAAATGATGAAGTTTTCCTCAATTATTAATTATACCTACTGATCAAATAACTCTGTCTTGATCTCTCAAGAACTGCAGGCAAAGTAAAAAGTAAGAGTTTATACAAGCATCTGTCATTCCCAATTATTACACGAGATGATTTCAGAGCCCCATATAAATGTGAATCTTGGAGGTTTTGTCATCTTCCTGCTTGACATTTATTTCAGCATAACTTTACTTCATGAGTAAAATTTTGCTCTCTGTCCTGAGCACAGTCCCATAATTAAAAGTGCAAAGTAATAAATATTTCAAAATATACAGTGGAGCAACAACCACAGATTTTTATGAAAAGGATATTACACCACTACTGAGCTTCTTTGCTATGTTATGGAGAAAGTCTAAAATGATGTGCCGTGGATACTAATGTACTACAAACACATGTTTTTAATCTCAAATACGTATATCATTTCCTAGATATAAAGTCAGCCCTGAAATATTTTAAGAGCTGTATTAAAAGACTTAGCCTCTCACTAGGCACAGTACTCTTTGAGAAAAAAATGCTATGTGATTTCTTCATTCATTTATTAAACATATGCCTAAATATAAATCAGGATAATATTAAAAGTGAATTCTAAAAGCAAAAATAAGAAGATAGCAGGAACCAACTACATCCCAGTTAAACAGGTTGGAACACCAATGGTGATGTGAGGGGGTGGCCATCTGTCAGTACATAAAGAACTTTGTTTTTACACACAAAGGCACGCTCAGCCCACATCTGCCTCCTGTAGCCAAATTCTAGCCTCACTGGGACAACTCCCACTGAAATATATGAGCATAAAGAACATAAAAATGAATTTTTAAAAAGCCAGTTGTTTGTTCCATGAACTTTGTCTGATGTATTAGACAATCAGGACAGAATTGAGTCCACTTTTCTACTTTTATTTATTTTTAAAAAGAGAACATGGAGTTTAAAACAAAAGAATTTGAGTAGGTGTTACAAGATCAGATTTCTCATCTTGTTACATAATCTTATAAAATTCACTTAAATTTACATAGTTTTTTCCTCCCGATAATGTCTTCTTCTCATCTCTCTAACTACCCAAATCATAATTTGGAAGGCATATTATAGTTCCCACCTTCTCTTGAAAGCCTTTCCTTATTACTTCAGCTCATTCCTGTTCTCTTCCCACTCTAAAATTTAGAAATTTAACACTGTATTGTATTGGTTTTTAGTACTTTTGTGTTCTTTAGTCTTGCATAAATTGTATGTTTTCTTCACAAGAGCAAAACAATATTGTTTTCATTCTAAAGTTTTTAGTTCTCTTTTGTGAGTCACCAATTCTACTCCTCACTTTTTAAAATTAAAACAGACTGAACATAGCCATGGCTGGTGTGGCTCAGTGGACTGAGTGCTGGTCTGCAAACCAAAAGGTTGCTGGTTCAATTCCCAATCACATGCCTGGGTTATAGTCCAGGTCCCCAGCTGGGTACATGAGAGAGGCAACCGATCGATGTATCTCTCCCACATGGATGTTTCTCTCCCTCTCTTACCCCCTCCTTTCCCATCTAAAAGTAAATAAATAAAAATCTTTAAAAAATAGACTGAACACAAAGAGATGGCAATATAATCAATACTGTAATTGATAATTATCCATTGAAGATCTGATCCTCTTATGTTCTCAGTTTCCACCATACTAAAATGGATTGGTTCTAAACAAGAAGTTATTTATACAGCATAAGCATCACATTGAAGTCAGGATCTGATTACCAGAATACAGCCATAAGAAATTCCTAAATAATCTGCACCATAGCATCAAAGTTTCTTACAACACTCACTCACTCTGCTCAGTATCTGAGATTTTGAAAAAGGCTGCACCAGCATAGTGAATAGAAATACATATCCTAGATCCTGATTGCAAATGTTTCCATACTAATTCTTTTACTCACTGGCTGTTACCTTGTAAGTCAGGCAAATTACCTAACTTGCAATATTTTTCCTGTGCAAACGAGGAAAATAATAGTGTCAACCTGATATGGTTGCTGTGAGAATTAATGAATTACTACAGGCAAATGGCTTAGGACAGTGTCTGGCAAGTGTTCAATTAATTTTAGCTATTATTATTATTATTATTATTTAAAAATATAATATGTCCAATTATAAAAGGTTTAATAGGTTTCTTTATGAAAATGAAAGAAAATAATCTAAATTTTTTCTGTTAGAATGAACAATTTCTTCTTTAACCCACCAACAAAAACATATACCTCAATCCCTATTCACAGCCAAGTCTGACTGACTGAATCCTTCTCATTTGTGAAGGATCAATAAAATTGATCCTTCACCAATTCTATTCCTTGCTTTTTAAAATAATAGGTTCAACTCCTAGGAAGTTGTAAAACTGGATCTATGTGCCAGTCACAATGTAAGTTGACACACATGCACACACTTTTTACAAAAATCCTTTATGTTACGTACATTAATTCTATTTTACAGATGAAAACACTGAGGCTTAGAGAAGTCAAACATCTTAATCAAGGTTGTATAGTCAGTAAGTGTCTAAAGCAAGAATAAGATCAAAATCTACTAATTTCAGACTCCACTTCCTTTCTACTATACCTCACACTACTTGCCTGAAATATCCTTTCTCACTTAACACCTACACATAATTTATAGCAGAGCACAACACACAGAGGTATTTTGTCATAGTTCACCATATGTTCTTGCCCAAACACATAGTCCTGCAGCTTCCCCTTTCTCTTCCTCTAGTCTCAGGTCACCTTAACTTCCTTTCTGGTAGTAAGAAATGTAGTGCTTAGCTCCCATGTTGTCCTTCTAAAGACTTCTTTTCTGTATAGGCTTAGAAGTAAACACTTTTTCTCTCTCTCCCGAAGTACTCAAGGAAAATGTGTTTGCAGAATCTTATCCTAATATTAGTAGTGAACATGCCATAGGACACCAGAATGAAAAAATCTCATCTTTTAAAATAGTAAGAAATGTGAACCTTGTGAATATAACTTGCATAGGCATGTTTTGAGGGAGTAAAGGAAACAATGTGAACAACTACTATTCTCACCCACAAATAACAGAGTGATGAACAGTTTTCTCATTATAAAAGCCATATGGCAAGATGATAAGGACACTAGACTTAGAAGTGGAAGACCTAATTTGAAACACTTTCTCTGCCACCTAGGATCTTTGTGACTTAATAACCTACATAAAGAGAGTTGTAGCCCTGGCTGGTGTGGCTCAGTTAATGAGAGCATTGTTCTATAACTGAAATGTGGCTGGTTCAATTCCAGGAGCATATGCCTGGGTTGTGGGTTAGATTCCCAATCCGGGTATGTATGACCCTGTCCAGGTGAGTACAATCCCCAGTCTAGGAGCATATGGGAGACAGCCAGTCAATATTTCTCAGGTCAGTGCTTCTCTCTCCCTTCCTCTCTCCCTTTCTCTCTTTTTAAAAGCAATGAAAAAAATGTCTTTGGGTGAGGATAATAAATAAATAGAAGTCATTGTGAGGATTATGACAAATAGCTATGTAACATAACAAGCATCATAAATTTATTTTTGTTGCATTTGAAATTATAAATTTCTTAAGTTCACTTCTATATTGAAGTGAACTTCACTTTTGAATATAGTTCACTTCACTTTTGAAGTACAATATGATACAGTATTTTATAATAGTACACTAATGATTTATAAAGCATACAAAAAATCTGCTAAGTATGAGAAAACTTCTCTGCCATGCAGCTAAAATTTCCTTAAAAATATTCCTTCTTAAGCCAATAATATTCCTTTGAAATTAAAGCAAACCAGAATTTATTAAGTGATATTGCTAGGAAGTTTATATACATTCTACTCACGTAACTTCACAAGCTTGAGAACAACCTGAGGCTCAGAGAAATGAAATCACTCACCAAAAACACACAGCTCCTAAATTACAGCAAATTTGGATCCACACCTAGGTTAGACTGACTCTAAAGCTTGTGTTCTTTTCTTTACATAACATTGTCTCTTAGCTTTTTGAATTGGGTCCACAAATTTCATTTGAATTTTGGTAGACCCCAATTCAAAAAGCTACATGCCTCACACAAGGTCAAAGAATAATTATTTTCAGTGTCGGAGAAGTACCCCCCAAATTCTCATATTTGGGGGTACTGTTTTTACTAGTATAAGTCACCTCCAAATAACATACTATTTTAAAGGTAACTTTCAAACACTTCCTGCTAATCTAGTTTTAGTACCCAAAACTATGCTGGTACATAAGAGTGAAACCAGTCTTTTGCTACTAGTTAAAGAAATTAACATATTATCAAGTTTAAGCCTTAGATGTGCAAAGAAACAATTCTAGAATTTTGATAAGAGGAAAAATAAATCAAAGAATACATTTCCTATAACTCCAATGGTGTGTTAATAAACAGGATTGTTTCCACTGGAAATGCCTAAAACTTACTGCTTCCAGAAAGAAGATTGCTTCCTCAATAATTTTTGTCCATGAAACTTAGAGAAACTATCACAAAGCAAAATTCATGGCCCAAGTGCTTCTGAAGAACTAAATCGGTAAATTAGAAGCTTTGTAATCTTGATATTCAATATAATATATGAAATGAAAGAACAAAAGTATATGCAATATTTCGTAAGTCTTCCTCTTTATTTCAACCAGTCTTGTGCTTGAGAACAGGAGCCTTATTTTCCTTGATCATACAAAATTAACTTCAACCTACTGCTGCTTACCTGTTGCAGAGTATGCTCAGGGCTCCATGTGGACTACATTTGCATGGCAGGCAGGGCCCAGAAGAGTGATTCAGGTAGAAGCCCTCCTTGCAGGTTTCACAGTGAAGCCCCTGATAACTTGGCTTACACTCACACTGCCCTGTGGTCTGGTTGCAGCGATTCACATCCACACTTCCAACCGCAGAGCAATTACATGCATATTCTGCAAAGGAGAGAAGGAAAGAGACATTATTAACTAAGATTTAGTGTTTTCTTAACAAAATGAACTTTAGTTTTCTTCAGTATTCATGACAACTTTGTAAGGATGGATAAAATATGTTCTAGTTCAAATTCCCTACTTATTTAAATTGGGAAATATATAGTGTAAAGTACATGAAATTGTGTATCATTCATAATTATAAAACATTCTCATTTCCATTTCCAGTACTCTTCATCTTCTAGCTCTTTGACCCTACAATTCTATGTGTGTGGGTCTGTATATTATTAGTTTTTCTGGATTGGAAATCTCCAAAAGCAGGGCCTATGCTTGTCTACATGGCACTTGAGAGCAAGTGGGAAATGACATGTTAAGTAATAAACAATCCCATTGTATAGCTGCAAATGCCTAAGGCTCAGATGGTTAACTGTGGTAACTTACATAGATCAGACAAGACTGTGCCTCAGCTGAAATCACAGGTTACTATGTTCTTCCCAGGAACAAATTAATGGAGAATTGAAACTTTAAGGTGAAGAAATAATAAGTCCCAGATGAGAAAGTTTACTAGATCATCCTAATCAATGCATAAAACAAATCACAATTTGAATCTCTTTTCCAAATTAGAGTTTAGAAAATAAATATTCTTTTAAAATGTTTATATCACTTCCCCTGATTCCACATTCGCATTACTCACACTATGGAGGCTTTCCCTACCTGGATGTGTATTCAGGGGGGATATAGGTACATTGGCATTCTAACTGAAAATATAGGAAGAAAAGCTAGTAAAACAAAGTCTCCTAAATCATTTGGATGCCCCCTCATTATCAAATTATGAGTATGTATGTGTAACTTAAATGACCATTCAGACCTAGAAAATTATCATATAAAATAGGGCACAGGGTACTGGACATTAAGTCCCTACCCTAATTTCTTTAAAAAAAGAAGAATGGAAGGGGGAAGAGTTTGATTTGGATGATTTCCATGCCCATTCCAGCTACATATTTGATGATTAGGATCCAGCCTTCAATTTTTCTCTCCTTCCTCCTGCTGGCCTTCCATGTAAGTGAAAAGCCAGGCAGGAAAAAGGAAAGAAACCCCGGTTGCTGCCAGCCGCAGCTGAGAGGCCTGACTGAGAGGCCTGAGAGGTTAATAAGTTACCAGTGGACATGTGGACCTCTGGCCGTGTTAGTGGTGATCCTCAGCCCGCCTCATGTCTTGGGGCTTATACTAAAAGCAATTCTGATGAGATCTTATTGTCCTACAATCACTGGAGGATGAAATTCATTCTCCTCTAGTAAAATCACTTAGGAAATGGAAAGCTATGTTGCAATAAACATTTTCTTTAGATACATTTCAAACAATTCTTGAGATGAAAATATTTAGAAGTCCTTGGCTTTGGACTTTTAATGCAGGTACTTTTAAAATGTAGTTAAGACTTAGTTTGTGCTATTATTATTACTCATTTTATCAGAAAAAAAAGCATTTTCAGCATAGGTTGACAGAGTATTAACATAGGACTCTGCAAACATTTGCAAAAGCTTGCACTTAAAATCAACTGGAGATAAAACAAAACCTTGCGCATACTGTATGGGAACAGCCCCATTCCAAAATAGTCAGGAACTTAGGTTTGAAAAGCCCAGAGAAATCTATGATACAAATTATACTTCTGCATAGATAAGGCACTGTGTAAAATGCCATTATTCAGATAAAAGTTTAACTTGAAAAAAATAATCTTCAATGCAATTTTTGATGATTTCTTAAAAGTTACTAGAAAACGGCAAATCCAGAGTCTTAAAAGGAAAGTTTTAAAGGAGTTTGTTTCTCTATTCTAGAAAATAAACCTGCAATTTTTTATGCCATCACAAACATGTTATTCACACAAGTCAAAACAAAGGATTCCATAAATGTATTCCCACTTGGCCAACTTCATACCAACTCTACACTTCCTAAATTTCTTCCAAATCTTTGGTGTCAGTTTATCTCCCTGCTCCTCCCACCTCTTCTAATTTGTAAATTTACTAAATAAATAAATATATTGTATATGGGTATGTCAAATATGGGTATTATTTTATGTATATGTCAAAACCCAGAAGAGAGTTCAGATTTCTTCAGCCCAAAACATCAGAAAGGAGTCAGCTTCCCATCTCAATCACTATTATTTTTATTGGGCTATGTAAGCATGACATTTCTTTGACGGAGTTACATGCTTTCACATTATTTCTACTGTGTGTGTTTACGTGTGTGTGGTTTTTGTAAATGAGGAAGCCATGTTTAGTGGACTGTAAACTTGCCAGTGAGAACTTCATGGCAAGACCTTCACTCCACCAAAAATGACCAGAACGCCTAAAATAATATTTTTCTGGTCCCAAAATCTGAGACCAGCCATTCATATAGAAAGTAACTTGGCTGGGCCTGTAAATTGTGTGGGGTGGAGTTTCTGGGGATCTCCAAGGCAGGACAGTGTTAGCCAGGTTGATGGAATCTCAGATATGGCACCAGCTTGCCAGATCTGTGTGGGGAGGGTTTAGGAAAGGGACAATGGCCTCTGCTCGCCTTGATGCCAGACACTTCTGATTCTCCCTGTATACCACTGGTGCCTTTCAGTTGCTACCCTGGTACTGCAGCTCAGAGGGAATGAGTCTGAGTAGGTGATTCAGTGATTGGATTCTTTAAGAGAAATTGTTTGGGGCTCCAAGCAGTTTCTTCCATTGACTCAATCCCCACTGGTTTTTGCAGCCAGAAGTTATGGGGACTTATCTTCCTGGCACTGAAACCCTGGGCTGGGGGGCCTGGTGTGGGGCTGGGACTCTGGGTTCCTGAGATATCCCTCCCAAATTTTCATCCTCCACATGTGGGTGAGGGACCAGCCTGTTCTGCCTCTGCACCCCTCCTACCAGTCTGGATGGATGTGGTTTCTTTAATTCTGTAGTTGTCATACTTCCATTCAACTTTATTTCTGCCAGTTCTGAGTGATGGTTGTTCCATATTTTGGTTTTAATTTTGATGTGGTTGTGTGAAGAGGTTAGCCATGTCTGCCTATGCCACCATCTTGACCATAAGTCCCATTAGTTATTTCTATGAAACTAATTCAAACTCTTCGATATCCCCTGAACACATTCTTTTTAGACCCATCTGTGAACATTTGTTCATTCCATGCCTTTTGAAATGTTCTCTCATCTCCATATATTGAAACCTATCCCCTACTTCAAGAATCTGCTGAAACTTACACCTCTATAAACGCTAACTCTATTGCCTTTCGTGTGAACCCATGATATCTACAACTTATAATTCATATGACAATAATTTGAAGAGGCAGTAAAGTGAAGCAGTCAGTGATGATTAAGGGCTATAGAGGCAGACAGCTGCAGTTTAAATCAAGCTCTTTCGCTTACTAATTTTATGACCTCAAGCAAGTTAGCTAACCTTGTACTTTTCTCATATACAAAAAGATTATAATATAATGTCTATAATACTTATCCCCAATAAATAAGCTGAAAGTAGTTTGAAGTGCTGCAGAAATTAACAGAATCACTGGTAGAAAGGGATACCTAATAAAATAACATAAACACAATTCTGATGTCAGGTTCATAGGCCACACAGCCTTTGTTATACCCTGTGGACAAGATTTTTTCAATAAAAGCCTAGGGAGACTTCCGCCAAGATGGAGGTATAGGTGGATGTGCCGTGCCTACTCACACAACCAAGTCTCGGGACAACTAAATATGAGCATCAGAAAACACAACCAGAACACGGAAAATTGAACTTTTCGGAAGTCCGGTAACAACAAATTCTTCAGCCCGACCGGTAAGGGGCGAAACCGGCGTCTCGTGAGGGGTTGCACAGGACTCCGGTCAGACGGACCCAGGCGCGGAATCCAGACGCGCGAATTCAGACGCACGGGTTCCAAACCCTGGATTGGACCTAGTGAGCCACCGAGCAACCCACCGGGTGAGCGACTGCTGAGGAAACAGTGGGGAGGCGGTACTGCGTGTTGACTGCGGTTGCCTATCTGTGGGCGAGCGGACAGGCGAGGGAGTGGGCGCTTGGACTGGCCCGGCGGTCCTCGTGGCTTGCGGCAGTAGAGGGCGCGGCCATATCCCCGCTCTGACCATGCCCCCACATACAGCATCACAACCCAGCGACCTGGGAGTCCAAAGCGCCGCTTCTCACATTTAAAGGGCCAGAACAGACCAGAAATGTCGCAGGAAGACCTCAAAGCCCCAGAGATAAATCTAAGCGATGAAGAAATAGCAAAACTCTCAGACGCACAGTTTAAAACACTGGTCATCAGGTTCCTAACAGATCTGGTTGATTATAGCCACAAATTAGAGAAACATATGAAGGCTAAACTAAGGGAAATGAATGGAATTCCACAGAAAACCCATAGAGATGAAAAGGAAACTGGGACTCAAATCAATGAAGTGGCCCAGAAGAAAGCAAATAATGGCCAAACAGAAAAGAGTCAAGGAGCAAGAATTCAAAGAAATGAGGAGAGTCTTAGGAACCTCCAGGACATCTTTAAACGCTCCAATATCCGAATTATAGGGGTACCAGAAGGGGGGAAGGACACAACCACCAGTGGAAAAATTATTTGAACAAATAATAAAAGAAAATTTCCCCAATCTGGCAAAGGAAATAGACTTCCAAGAAATCCAAGAAGCCCAGAGAGTACCAAAAAAGTTGGACTCAAGAAGAAACACACCAAGGCATATCATAATTACATTAGCCAAAATTAAAATGAAGGAGAGAATCCTAGAAGCAGCAAGAGCTAAGGGGACAATCACCTACAAAGGAGTCCCCATCAGACTGTCAGCAGATTTCTCAAAAGAGACCTTACAGGCAAGAAGGGGCTGGAAAGAAATATTCCAAGTCATGAAATCTAAAGACCTACAACCAAGATTGCTCTATCCAGCAAAACTTTCATTTAGAATGGAAGGACAGATAAGGTGCTTCTCAGATAAGATCAAATTCAAGAAGTTCATCATCACCAAGCCCTTATTATATGA